GGAATATGGACGGCGAAAGTTGCAGGAGCCTCCTGAAAAGAGTCCTGAGACTTGGTGAGCCTCTGTCTCCTGGGCAAATGAGCGTGATGATATCAATCTTTAACATCCATCAGAAGTCTTATTCGATGGGTTCACCTCTGTATGTAAAAGGAACAGTGTGTTGGACTGTGTATGGACCTGCCGCCCATCATAGGAATGTGCAAATTCTACAGCTTAGGGCTGTAAACAAGAGATGAGCAAAGCGTAAATGCTCATTTGAACGGGAGAGCACTTCGACTTTATAGTTACTACTATGCCTATGACTTCTAAATCTTCTTTCCTAGGCCAATAACGAAATCGGCCATCACCCAGAATGCAGCTGTTGGCGGCTGAGGGATGCCAATTGGCCGATCGCAATGACAACAAAAATGTAATTTAGTGATGGGCGTCCACGATTTGTTTGAATCGAAGCTCCAAAATAAGCCCCGTCGGGTTAGTTTGGATTGATGCCATCTCAAAACATTTTTGACCTCGTTTTCTAAAACACAAAAAAATTGGCATTTGTACGGGCGCCAGGCCTCGTGTTGCTCGTGCTTTGTAAAGGGCTCTTGTTCAATAACAAAAAAGCACAAAGACAATGGGAATTTGTCCTTCTAAATGTGACAAAACACCCATCAACTTTCGAACGTTTTGATTTTGTTGGTACTGTGGACGGACCCTGGACGTCCTTTTTCAGACCTTGAGGTCTTGCTGCGGTACAGTGCCGTGATAAGATCAAGGTTTTTCGCAAACACAGCTCTGGCCGCCAGTGTGCGTGCGCGCGACATTGTCTAAATAGTTCCATTAGAGCCGCCCCCCCTCACCCACAGTGCAAAATAACCTCACCACATTCGTTAAATAACACAGAAACAATTGTACGATATGTGACATTTCAGGCATGGGTTCCTCATGATAAAATACGAATAGGTTTTACCCTTTCTGGCAACAAAACAGGTAGGCAAAAAATAAGTAAAATACCAGTAAATTAAAATAAGACAGAGACTTGTGTTGCCTCCGAAACGGCGTGATTTAATTTAGTTATTTTCATTTACAGTGATACCTCGGTTCACGAACTTAATTCGTGAACTGACTCTGGTCGTGAACCGAGGCACATTTTCCCACAGGGTTCAATGTAAATCCGGTTAATCCGTTCTGACCTTTTTTTTTGGTTTTTGAAGCACAAAAATATGAAACAAATTACAATACACATTAGCACTGTACAGTATAGTAATGTATAAAGAGAGAACACTAACCTTGCTTAAGATGACTTCAGTAAGCACTCAAACGGGTGAACTGTACAATACAGTAAGTACAGTATTGTACAGTACAGTAGTACAGTACTGTATGTGCTAAAAAGCACACCAAAAAGCAAAAAGTCACTGAAAGTGTCTTCACAGTACTCACAGTACTTCTTTCTGTGTCTCTTCTTCTCTCCACGATCTTCCTACAGGAAGTCACGACCATGTGACAGCCTGGAAATAGCATTAAAATGGCCGCGACTCCTGTTCGTGAACTTTTCTGTTCGTTAACCGAGTTGTTCGTGAACAGAAGCGTTCGTGAACCGAGGTATCACTGTATTAGTATTTTATTATTATTTTTTACCTACGTGACTTTACCGAAAACCTAAGAATATGAATCCTTGCAGTCACGAAAGCTTCAAATCTAGAACAGAATGGGTGTTCAAACACCGCACAGAAACCTGTTTTTGCAAAGAATCATGTCTGCATTAACCACGTACTTGTGATGAACATGCAAAACCAACATGCTCTGATAACACTGGTCAACAAAAGAAAAATGTTTTTTTCTGGCCTGGACTTTTGCAGCTGTTTTAGACTAATTTCAGGGTGCTGATTCCAAATCTGATCTCAGATTTGCTCTATCACATCTCATTTTTATGCTATCGGCATACCCCATTTTCATTGATTTTACCCGAAATTAACTCTGTCACTTATGATTGCAAGTTGTTGCGAGTCAGTGACTGCTTTAGTGTTAAAATATGGTGCTGTATTTTTAGGATAGTGTGTTTATAACATCATTTTATGTAGATATCCACATTTATTTAATATTTTTCTTCTGCAGTTTTTATTGAAAATGCAATATTTAATATCTCAAAAACCTGATGTGATGCCAGATTTGGAATCAGCACCCCAAAATTACCCTAAAACCGTTGGAATACCTTGTGCCAGAAAAAGTGTGTTGACCAGTGTAATATATGGGCATTGTCCTTGAAACTGATTGGCCTACACCAAAAGACGGCCTTCTTTAGGGCCTAGTCTCAACCAGCGTTAGACCAGAGAACGCCGAAATGCAAACAGCATGGTTCCTCATTCGTGAGCAAGAGGATGACCACCGTGGAATTGTCACCGGTGGTGGCCGTGACCGGGAATCGAACTCGCGTCGCCGGGTTTGTAGCGAAGCGTGCCAACCACGACACTACAATGCGTGACGCTTCCACATGTGTGGGTCACGTGACAGATGTGACGTCACAGCTCACTTGCCGTGCAAAAAAAATATGAATTATTGAGCTCCCCCCCCCCCCCCCCCCCAAAAAAATACCAAAGTCTATTTTTATAATTTTTGTGTGATGTACAGTTTGGAAAGTACCCACATGGCAAATTTCAAGTTTGTTGCATGTCGGGAAGTACGCTAAACATTTTGAACAGACACACATAATCACAAATTTCCTTTATATATATGGAGATACACTACTATACTCTACTATACACTACTATATACTATATGAGTGTATATACACAATGTAAGAGTGTATTTAACATGTATATAAATGTACATAAATATTACATAAAGTACAATAATGTACAGTAAATGATTCACTAATCATCTGCAGCATCCAGGTCCGATAGAACACTAAATTATTAGTGACACTATATATGATTAACACAAGATTAGTAGTGACACTATATATGATTAACACTATATATAATTAACACAAGATTAATATTAACACTATATATGATTAACACTAAATTAGAGAACACTAGATATTTCTCTTCTTGGTTCTTTCGGTAAAGTCACGTAGAAGGGAAATAATAAAATAATAAAAATAAAACAATAAAATAAAATTCTCACGACGTTTCGGCCACAACTGTCTGTCCGACAGCCCTGTTCTTCACCTGAGGACAGCTGCTTGCGTTGTGGCCGAAACGTGAGAATTGTATTATGTTGAATTTGTATTATTTTATTATTTCCCTTCTACGTGACTTTACCGAAAGAACCAAGAAGATGAATCCCTGCAGTCACGAAAGCTTTAAATCGAAATTTAAACACTAGATATTGTTTTGGACTTGTTCCTTGCACGGACGATACCATTACAAGCCCTCAAATCCACGTTCGCGTGATGGCTTCCTGCCCCTTACCTGTAGCGAAAGTACGAGTCACAAGTGTAAGTATGAATCGGGGTCGGTCGCTTATGAGCGGATCCGCTTACTCTTGAGCCCCCTCGTACTCTTGAAACCTTACTCTATTGCTTGCTATGACATCGGTGGAAAAAATAAATCTCTTTACTCATGTGGAGTATTGAAGAATGGAACAATGATGCATGCTTGGACTTGGAGATAGCTTGTGAACCAGGCGAATCGGTCGGTACCACGTAGGGTGGCAAATGACACCGTGTCCACTATGGGCAGTATCAACTGTGGCGGTGTTAAAAGACGCACAACTCAAAGACAAGGCACCATCAGAGTATGAGAGCTCGGGGTAAGCATTTACACCATTGAAACCTCATTTGCCAGTAAAAAATATGATAATTGGTTTTTTACCCTTCTATCTGGCAACAAAACGGACACCTTTTTTACAAGGAGTCATGTTTGCATAGACCACAATACCTGCAGTCATAATGCAAACAAAAAACATAACTCTGATAATCTATGCACTGTCCTTGAAGTTGATTGGTCCACACCCGAGACAGCTTTCCTTAGAGCCTAGTCTCACATGGGTTGGACCTGATGACGCCAAAAGGCGCACAACTCAAAGACAATGCACCATCAGGGTATGAGAGCTCGGGGTAAGCATTTACACCATTGGAACCTCATTTGCCAGTAAAAAATATGATAATTGTTTTTTTACCCTTCTATCTGGCAACAAAACTTGTCAGAAAGGAAAGCTGTCTCGGGTGTGGACCAATCAACTTCAAGTACAGTGCACACATCAGAGTTATGTTTTTTGTTTGCATTATGACTGCAGGTATTGTGGTCTATGCAAACATGACTCCTTGTAAAAAAGGTGTCAGTTTTGTTGCCAGATAGAAGGGTAAAAAACCAATTATATCATATTTTTTATATTTTTTACTGGCAAATGATGTTCCAATGGTGTGGCGGTGTTCTTCATTCATTTTCACGGGGACCACTTTCACCGATAAGACATCGGTGTGTGGCACGGCCATAGAATTTGAAGACATTGGTTAGTCATTTTAACGCGTATGGTTTCCGCTTTCAATGTGATCCAGTGGTAAATGTTGTGGGTTTACTCTTCAACACGCAGGTGCGCTGAAGTAGTAGCTAAGTGCCACGTTTTGTTTACGTGACAAACTTTACTAATTGGCTGTGTCGGGGGTGGTGACTGGTTGAACGACACATTTATATTTACGAGATGTAACCCCCAAAAAAACCTCTGATGAACCTTGGGGCAAAAACTTAGTGTAAATGCTGTCTAAATTTCGATTTAAAGCTTTCGTGACTGCAGGGATTCATCTTCTTGGTTCTTTCGGTAAAGTCACGTAGAAGGTAAATAATAAAATAAAAATATTTTATTTAATAATGTTTTATTTTTATTATTTTTTTATTTCCCTTCTACGTGACTTTACCGAAAGAACCAAGAAAAGGAATGGGGATATTTATTTATACTGGAGGAATCCGATGAGCTATGAAGCACTTTTCTTTCACGGATGCCCAGCAGCTATGTCAATGGCACTCATTCTCTTGCCTCTGACCCCTCATTGCCCCCTTTCCCCCACCCCCTGGCAGGGAGCCTGACACACGCCAACATCTCAAGAATGTCTACGCCACCCTGGCCATCTGCATGCTGGTGGCGTCCGCAGGGGCCTATGTCCACCTCTACACGGCCATCCTGCAGGTAGGGACACCAGCAGCAGGGAGAGTGGGGTTACCTGTTACGTGATGTCGTGATATAGAAGAATGGCATCACTGCCGTGTCGTGCTGTTGATGTCGTTTGAAAGGATGAAAACATTTCACACCGTCGTATTGTTTGGTGTTTTGTGGACGAGTGATGTCGTCAAATCTGATGGGGGAGGTGCTCTGGTTGTTGCCGGACCTGCATGATGTCACTGACGCCGCTGTAGCTGCTGATGCCGGTGGGAGAGTCGTTCACCACCAAACTTTTGACGATGTCATCCTGTTGATCTCGTTTGGAGGAATTAGCACCACCTGTTGCAGCACAAAGTTATGTTTTTACATCCAACCATTTCCTTGCTTGGCGGAAGCCGTCGCGAGATTTCTCCGCCGTTGAGCGTGCTCCGTTAATTTGTGTTACTTTTTGCGCGCAAACGAGGGACGTTGCTCCAGGCTTGCCCGAAAAGCTCGCAAGCGGGGCTTCGATCGCAAGAAGTTTCGGAAGATGCGCGAACTTGTCTTTTTTTCCGGGTTGATGCAAAAGTATGGCGTCGTGGAAAATGACGTTGGTTGTAAATTCGGCACGGACGTGGCGGGTTTTTTTTTTCCACCATAAGCTGCATCCGGTGTATCTTTTATCTTCTCGTACATTTGGTTGAGATTAGTGGATGGATGATGGGTGACCACGGGGAGTTGGGGAAGGTCACAGGTGTGATTCTGCCTGGGTTGTGGTTGTGTGTGGGTGGAACTAATCCCACCGTATTCATCCATTCCCTCAACATTACTGCAAGGCGATTACATTTTTTCCCTTCCCCATCCCCAGCACCTCGGCCGTGGATTTTTTTCCCGCAAAATATTTCTGCCAAAATTAGCAGGTTGTGACTCATGCCATACAAAAATGGTTGATGATCAAAATGATCAGGTGCCCCTAACCCCCCCTTCCCCCCCCCCCCCCCCGCACACACATGCTCTCATCTAATTCTGAATTCTGCTATTTAAATGTGAAGGTTGTATCGGTGCTACCAGCGGCGAGTTTTATTGTTAACTGTGAAGACCTTGAACCCTGCTGTTGCTGTTTACTCTGAAGTACAGCGAGTTTTATTATTAACTGGATGTTGAATTATGCTATGACTTGTTGTTGACAGTGAAGACATTGCATTGTACTATTAGCTAAAAAATACATTGAATTGTCGCCGTTTACGATGAAGACATTGAATTGTGCCATGACCGTGTCTACATTGAATTGGCTCGGCACACAGTGCAAACGCTTATAATAATCATTAACTGGGGCGATGTGAGATGTTAACTCCATCGCCTGGTACGCTGGAGGTCGTCGGCTCGATCCAGACCCTGACACCTGCTGCTGTATATTCGGAGTTTGCGTGTCTCTCCCCGCGGTCGCGTGGATTTTTCGCCGGGTCCTCGAGGTTTTTCTCCTCCACGTTTAAGAGTCAACATCACGCATTTAACGGTGTTTGGCCGCTATAAGTGTCCACATGAGGATAAGCCGCTTTGTTGAGCTATAATTTGTTCTGGTAAAAAAAAATTGCTAGAATTAAAACTTTAATTCTAGATTTGAAGCTTTCGTGACTGCAAGGATTCATACTATTAGTTCTTTCGGTAAAGTCACGTAGGTAAAAAATGAAATTAATAAAAATAAAACAATAAAATCACGACGTTTCGGAAGCAACACAAGTCTCCGTCATCAGGTGGGACTGTCACAGCCAGATTTGCTGCATCAAGTGAGGCAAGTTGGGGGGGTAGGAGAGGGGAGGGGGCTTATCAGAATGTCGTAGCCAATGAATGGAACGTATCGGGAGGGGGCGGTGCTAAAAGAAGGCACAAAGTGCTACGAATTAAAACTGTACAGGAATTTAATTTGTCCCGTTCACTTGTGTGCAACTGACCTCTGCAGGGGAACTTCTTGATGACCCTGGTGAGCATGGGCCTGCTCATGTGGCTGATGTTTACGCCTCGCAATGGGCAGAACGACGCCAAGCGACTGGGCATCCTGTGCGGCTTTGCCTTCACCGTTGGTGAGCGGGAACACGGGCACCGCGGGCGGCGATGAATGATCGATTCTAAAGGCCGACGGCGATCATTTGAAGGGTGCTGCCGTTGACGTGTGATGGTCCTTCTCCCCCCGCACCTCCGATTAGCGCGGTTGGCTACGTATGGTGTGAAAGAAGTTCTATATAATACGTATATAGACTCACACAGACAATAGACTCGCCCAGAGACCCATAGACTCACGCAGAGACCCACACTCATCCAGAGAACCATAGACTCACACAGAGACCCATAGACTCACAAGAGAACCATAGACTCACACAGACAATAGACTCACCCAGAGACCCATAGACTCACGCAGAGACCCACACTCATCCAGAGAACCATAGACTCACCCAGAGACCCATAGACTCAAACAGAGAACCATAGACTCACACAGAGAACCATAGACTCACACAGAGACCCACAGACTCACACAGAGACGCACAGACTCACCCAGAGAACCATAGACTCACACAGAGACCCACAGACTCACACAGAGACCCACAGACTCACACAGAGACCCACAGACTCACACAGAGACCCACAGACTCACACAGAGACCCACAGACTCACACAGAGACCCACAGACTCACACAGAGACCCACAGACTCACACAGAGACCCACAGATTCACACAGAGACCCACAGACTCACACAGAGACCCACAGACTCACACAGAGACCCACAGACTCACACAGAGACGCACAGACTCCCGCAGAGACCCACTGACTCGCGCAGAGACCCACAGACTCACACAGAGACCCACAGACTCAAACAGAGACCCACAGACTCACACAGAGACCCACAGACTCACACAGAGACTCACAGACTCACACAGAGACCCACAGACTCGCACAGAGACCCACAGACTCGCACAGAGACCCACAGACTCGCACAGAGACCCACATACTCACACAGAGACCCACAGACTCACACAGAGACCCACAGACTCACACAGAGACCCACAGACTCACACAGAGACCCACAGACTCGCACAGAGACCCACAGACTCACACAGAGACCCATAGTTTGTTGTCTTTTCCCCGCACCTCCGATGAACGAGGTTGACCACGTACGGTGCGAAAGACGTTCATTACACATGCACACATACGTGTGTATTTCGGCAATTCTAGAAGAACTCGGGTGGCTCGCTGAAAGGCACGGAGGCTGATCAGCCTCCGGAGTAATATAATAAAATCCCCTTGTCGCTTGTTAAACAGTTGGCTTACAACACATGTGGCATTGGGGTAGGGTGGGGGGGAAATCCCCACAAGTGGAAACTGAGGAGGCTGTATTTCACACAATACAGTTGTTGCAGTGTGATGACAGAATCGTGTGGAATGTGCCCGAGCTTGTTAGAAGCCGGGAAGCACAGCAGGTTTGAGCCTGGCTCATGCTTGCTTTGGGGGGGGGGGGTGACCACAATACGCGCGCCTAGGCTGACGTGGAGCTACACCGTCGCTACGTGAGAGCGGTTCGAGTTGACCTTGTTTAACCGTGGTGGTGAGAAAATGACGAAAGCAAATTGCGTAATAATATTAAGTGGAACAAGTAAAGCAAATAGAAATGAAATTTAAAAAACAGCTGCGTTAGAAGACATTGATAACGGTGCACTTTGGTAAACAATATGAATTAACAATAAATGTCCCGCAACATATGTTCGCTCAGACTAATTATTCATAACGTTTTTGGGTTCGATCGCGTTATTCATAAATGTGACGTAACCCTCCACCGCCCAACACGGCCAATCAGCCAAAAGTATCACGTTGACAAAAGACAAATAGTTCACTGCTTTATCCCACCGGTGTGTTGAAGCGTGAAACCACAACATTTACAGTTTGAGTAGCACTGTGACGTTTCACTGGTAATTGCATTCAGAATCATCGGGCAATTCGCCAGAATGGTGAGGCTCTGCGATTGCTCCCGGTCTTAAATAGAGCAGCAGCAGCAGCAGCAGCAGCAGCAGGGTGACGTCATCAGACTAATTAATTTAAAGGAAAAAAACTCATTGTTGAGTTACAGAAACGTCAAAAAAATCGTAGTGTGGTGCAAGCCACTGTTATACAGTATATACTGTGTTATGCTCGCACTCCTACGCTTAGTGCCTTCACGCACCGACACAGACCAGCACGGCGAGATTGCGGTCACATTGACCCCGACGATGTGGAAAATTGTGAGAGCAAACGCCAGAGGTCGCAACCAGGTACCTGATACCCGTACCCTACCCGATACCCGGCTACCCGTACCCGGCCAGGTACGGTTAGCCGTTTGCGACCCTGGTGCGGCCGGGTACGAGTACGGGTAGGCCGTGAGTCACTGGTGAGTCACCGTTTGTCACTCATTTCCCAACGTCTTGTCTCTTCTCACAATTCAAGTGCCTAGAATCAACCCACCCGCGCCTGCAACATGGCTTCATCCCAGAGGTCGCAATCAGGTACCCGATACCCGTACCCGGCCGGGTACGGGTAGGGTACGGGTACGGCCGGGTACGGGTACCCGTTTGCGACCCTGGTGCGGCCGGTTACGGGTAAGGAATCAAAACCCGTTTGCAGGTAGAGCCGCCGCGCGTGCTCCAACGTGAACTGCCGGTGGTAACCCGAGTCGAGGCGTGTTGGCTGGCGGCTCGGGGTTCGACCGATGTGACCGATGTGCTCCACCCACCTCCCCGTGCGTGCACGTACGCACGCACGCACGCCCCCAGCCCCGTGGCTTTGTCGGTCAATGACTGCGCGATTAACATCGCAACCCCCCCCCCACCGCCCTTTCTCCTGTTTCGCTGCACCGCTCGACGATTGCATCAACTTTTTCAACGCCAAACGCGCCCCCCCTGCTGTTTGCGAAGGGGGAGGGGGGTGGGGTGATCTCCCGCCCGAGAATGTTCTTCCTTCCGTGTACCGCGCCCTCGCTGTCTTGCCGCGGCCACTGCAACGCGATCCATAGACTCCCCCACATACTTGTGGATCCATGGATGTCCCCATCGAGTTGCATGTAGACACACGCATACGTAGACATGCACGAGAAACCACCCCTGATACACTCGCAACGAGAGACACAGATGCGCACTCACACACACCGAAGCCGCCGTGGTATTAACTTTGGCACACTCCCCTTACGATCCAGAGGTTGCCGGTTTAAGTCCATCTCTTGGGGTGGGTTGTGGGTTTGCCCACCTCCCTTGCAAGAGGTCTTGGTCAGCGTGGAAGAGTAGGCCAAATATCTTCTAGAGCTCTCTCTCTCGTAGAGGCCTGTCCACCAGCATTGGCGGGGACAAGCGATTAATTTCTTTCTTGAAGTCTCCGACCTGGGGTTCCACTAAAGCAGTGGTTCCTAACTTTTACTGCAGCCTTGCATCCGTTTGATTCTCGATCGTTAAAACAATTACAATGTTAATAACTACGTAGGCTTTGATGAAACTAAGTAAGTTGTAACTTACGTACCCGTGCGTAATTTGTATTTCAATTATTTACCTTCTAAGAAAATCTGCACATCTCTCGCACCCCCCAGAAAGGGCATCTCACATCCCTCAGGGAATGCAGCGTGCACCACAAGTTAACCACTCCACTAAAGAAATGAGTTGAACTACAAAGCGTATCTGTTTTGATTGGGGTGTTTATAAATGGCGATCACCCTTTACGTTTAATTTCAATGCACGATTGTCAAAAGTTAAACAACCTCTCCCTGTTAACATTTGAGCTAAAGGGTGCCTGCCGGTCCTGTCTATTGGTGACCGCTGTGATAGGATGCCTTTACGTTCTCGGCTTGCATATTGTGTTAGTAGATTTGTGCTTCGTGGTGAACGTTTTGTGACAATAGCTTGGGGGAGGGGAGGGGGGGGACAGTGCATTACCCATGGCTAACGATGGCGATATTGTGACTCTCCAACGTAAACGTACGTCCACTCTTTAGCCGGCATTATGCGGCCGTTAACTCTGCGTTCCTGCAATGTGTAATGGGACTGCGTTGCCCCTCCTCCCCCCTCCTCCTCCCCCGTGCAGGACTCGGACTTGGCCCTCTGCTCGACTTCGTCATCGCAATCAACCCGAGGTAAGAGTAAGCACGCTGCCAACCCGCAGTGCCACGTACGGGAATCTTATCGCCGTCAACAGAGTGTTCAGTTTGGCTGTCACGCCTCCCCACCCCCGGACCTCCAGTTAGCAAGGCTGGTGTTACGTACGGCGTGCGAAAGGAGTTCACACGTCGTACATGCTGATGTAGTGGTGTTAACTACTCGCTGTTCGCAAACTGTGAGAACAGATCGTTAACAACGTTTTCCCGCTCAATCGAACGGTCAGCGTCAAATGGGGTGAGGTAGGATCCAAACCCAGATTGGGAAGGACCAATCGGAGGGTCCCACAAGGTGGCCGGGGATTGGACAACCCGGCCACGAACAGGTATAAAAGCCAGAGCGCTGAGAGCTCTGAAGGAGTTCTGCTACACGAAGACCCAAGTCGGCCGAAGACGTCTAGGACCCTGGACCAAGCCCTCCAGCCCTTGTCAGGGCTCGGGCTCAGAGTAACCAGTGGTCGGGGAGAGATCCCCTAGGTCCAGCCGGAGGACGCTGGGAGAGCAGGGAGATTAGACGGCCTGGAAGGTCTGGAGGCTTGTACCTTCTGAGGGTAACGGGTGAGGGGACCGTATACCCCTGAGTGTGATAGGGACTGTGTGTCAAGATACTAAACAGTGTGTGCCATAAAGAAGTATAGAAGTCCGTCCTTACTACACTACACTTGCAACGTCAGGCATCGTCATTCGACCTCTTGGGCGAAGGCGTCCGAGAGTTGCCTCCGTATCTTGCGATCGTGTGATGCAGTAACAAACGGCAACGAAACAAAGATGTGTCTTGTATAGCCTCCACCAACTTCTTGGGACAAGTGTTGTTAGTGAGCACCTGTGAAGGCCGGCAAGACACACGAGGGGGTGGGTGGCCACCACCAACAACCCTTTTGTCTCCCAGGTGGTGATGTTTACCACACCGTACTCCCGGTACTCGTTTTGAGACCGAGGCGACCTAGGCGGAGGCCCAGGACCGGTTCCGACAACCATCGCCGGTCTTGGTCGTGAGTGCGAATCGAAATCGGATCGCCGGGTTCATAGGGCAGCGCGCTAACCGCTGCACCACCACTCTCCGCCTGACGCCTGCACATGAACAGATTTCATACCGCGCATCTCTGTGCGCGTACACTCAAGACGGGCGCTTATTACCTGCCTGCCACTCTTGGCCATCGGTCACCGTCCCAACACACCAGTTGTGTGTTGGAGAGTAAACCCACTACAACATTTACAATTCCAGTAACACACAACTGGTGTGTTGGAGAGTAAACCCACTAGTGGAATTGTAAATGCTGTCGTGGGTTTACTCTCCAACACCCAACTGGTGTGTTGGAGAGTGTGACGTTTCGCCAGTAATTACAACCAGCATCATCAGGTGACAAGACATCATCGTTGAACGACACATTTATTTTTACGCGATCTATATGCTGTGCGTGAACGTGAAAAGTATTCCGCTAACTTGCACGCTCCCTGATCCGTGTGTTCCTCCTCCTGGCTCTCGGTGTCATTCCCAATTGTGTACATTTCCATTTTTGAAAGAGAAAAACATCTCGACAATTGTTTACTTTAATTGTTGTGCTCTTGTTACTTGATAAATATTTTTTCGGGCCAATAAATTATTCATGAAATGTGAAATTAGTCGCGACAGTCGGGATATATTTTTCGCTGGGGTGATCGTGGATCTTACGTCTTGCGATAATTTTCAGCATCGCCACTCGGCAGCTACTCCACTCAACCCTTATGACTTCTCAAAATTGATCTTCCTACTACGGTCAACTTTAAGTTAATCCGGGGTAATGGGAGGGAGTCATAATGTGGATAAAACACAATGAGAATGATGCAAAATGTACACAAATTAAGCTATAAAAAAACATAACCTCTGTACAATGTGTGCTCGAAAGTGTTGTCCGTTTTTCTTGCAATTTACAGCAATCCGGTTAATTCCCGACCATGTTTAGGGGCCCGTCTAAAATTAAATGTGTGCGTGCGCGCGCGCGTTCCCTTGCAGCATCATTGCCACCGCCTTCATGGGCACCAGCCTCATCTTCGGCTGCTTCACCCTCAGCGCCCTCTACGCCCGACGCCGCTCCTACCTCTACCTGGGCGGTGAGGCTGGCGTAGAGTTTTGGTGACCGGTGTTTAACCTGCAGAACGGACGATAGACCTTTACACCATTGGAACCTCATTTGCCAGTAAAAAATATGATAATTGTTTTTTTTTTTACCCTTCTACCTGGCAACAAAACTGACACCTTTTTTACAAGGAGTCATGTTTGCATAGACCACAATACCTGCAGTCATAATGCAAACAAAAAACATAACTCTGATAATGTATGCACTGTCCTTGAAGTTGATTGGTCCACACCCGAGACAGCTTTCCATAGAGCCTAGTCTCACACGGTGTTGGACCTTTTGTGTGCGATGTGTTTTGTGCAGGAACTCTGATGTCCGGACTCTCCTTCCTGCTGATGATGTCTCTCTTTAACATGTTCTACGGCTCCGCCCTCCTCTTCAAGGTAGGTCATGTGACCTGTGTGTGTACCGCCCTGCAAGTTTCTCTTGAGACGCAAGGCGCTGTGTTTTTTAGATGTGTATTTATATTGCTATATATTGTAATACAGGTTATCGAGAATATATATTGTAATACAGATATATTGTAATACGGGTAAATGTATCGATTGTGCGTTAACACATTCCTGCGGAGGGAGCTGGTAGGAACGTTGGGTTGCTCGGTCAATGGCCAGGGTCAACGGCGGCGTGGTGTATTCCGCAAATATGGCCGACTGTGAGGGCGGGCACAAGCCGGCGTGAGTAGGTTAAACGTTGAGTTTTATAAGGGCACCACGGGGTAACCAGCCCCTCCCCACCCTCCCCTCTCCACCCCGCCCCACCCCTCCCATTTTTGGATGCACAACGGACGGACGGACACAATAATCCCCTGTGGGCTGGTGGAACCAGGTGGTTCCTACCAGTATTAACTCGATTGTAATTTTACTGCAGTTTAAACTGCGCGGCTAAAATGCTGGCAACTTGTATACCAGCAAGAGAATCTTAAAATCAGCACCGGTTCGGGCGAGGAGCCGGTGAAGGGACAGGAGCACAGGTTCGTGATGCGATGGTGAAAGTGGTGTGCCAGTGAAACACCCTGGCGGTGGCCGCATTTTGAAGCTGCTGCGGCCTGATTTCGATTTAAAGCTATCGTGATTGCAGGGATTCATCTTCTTGGTTCTTTCGGTAAAGTCACGTAGAAGGGAAATAAAATAATGAAAATGAAACATAATAAAATATAATTAAATTTCGATTTAAAGTTTTCGTGACTGCAGGGATTCATCTTCTTGGTTCTTTCGGTAAAGTCATGTAGAATGGAAATAATAAAATACAACGTAATAAAATATAATTAAATTTCGATTTAAAGTTTTCGTGACTGCAGGGATTCATCTTCTTGGTTCTTTCGGTAAAGTCACATAGAAGGGAAGTAATAAAATAATAAAAATAAAACATAATAAAATAATTCTCACGACGTTTCGGCCACAACGCAAGCAGCCGTCCTCAGGTGAAGACCAGGTCTGTCGGGGAGACAGCATCATTCAGACCTGGTCTTCACCTGAGGACGGCTGCTTGAGTTGTGGCCGAAACGTCGTGAGAATGTTTTTATTATGTTTTATTTTTATTATTTTATTACTTCCCTTCTACGTGATTTTACCGAAAGAACCAAGAAGATGATGACATCATCTTGCACTATTTAAGACCAAAAGCAGGTGGATTGCTTCACTGTTCTGGCAAATTGCCCGATGATGCTGGTTGATGTCATTACCGGCGAAACGTCACGGTGATCGCGTTGTAAACGTCGTGGATTTACTCTCCAACACACCAGTGGGCTGCAGTAGTGAACTACACTAATACACTACACTATACACTACACTATACACTACACTACACACTACACTACACACTACACTACACACTACACTATACACTACACTATACACTACTATACACTACTCTACTATACACTACACTACTATACACTACACTACTATACACTACACGACTACACTACACCACTGTACACTACACCACTATACACTACTATACACTACACTACTATACACTACACGACTACACTACACCACTATACACTACACTATACACTGCACTATTCACTACACTATACACTACACTATACACTACACTGCACACCGCACTAGTAAACTATTTGGCGCTTTCTTTAGGTGACAAACCTTACCGGCTGTGTCGGGTGGTGGACGGTTACGACACATTTCTACTGACGCGATCAAACCCAAAAACCTTCGTTGTGAAAATAATTTTGTTTCCGTTTACATTTTGGCAGAAAGCACGGTTAATCGGAAAAATGCGGATAATTATCCCAGCAATAGCCGAGAGTTGAGCTGCGCGGGTCGCTGGGCGACATCAACCCATTGGGACGGCTTGGAAGGTGCCTCCTTCGCTGCTGTGACGAGCCGAACGTGGGGAAAAAAACGTGACGGAATCCATTCGCATGTGCACGACTGCTGTGTTGGGGCGTGCGCGCGCTGGTAGCCAAAACGCCGTTTAACACGCTCGCCGATGTCGCACGACAGAGCCATTTCCCGGAAGGTCGCCTTTTCTAAATGTTTTTAGAGTTTTTTTTTCTCTTTTTCTGAGGAAGCGAAATTGACGAGTTTCCGCTAAAGCTGAACTGTTGTCGCCAGCGATAGCGCGGGGTTTTTTGCGTGTGTTTTTCCCCACCACGCATCTGAAATGTGCGCGCGTGCACGCTGCAGATACAGTTGACCGGAGCTCGTGAATTATTAACGTGCCTTCGTGCAAACCGCATGCCGTGTTCCTGCCGTGTCAGCACCCATGGGGGGGGGTGTGGAGGGCGATGTTACGTGTGTAGCATTGGCTCTCAGTGGCTCGTGCCAGTGTCTTAAGTGTGGTGCTTTTCCTCGTCCTCTCTTGCCATCATCGTTATCCTCCCATCAATGGGGCGCCACGGAGGCTAGGAGATATTAACTACCTCGCCTGGTACGCAGGAGGTCATGCGTTCGATCCCGAACCCTGTGACGCCTGCTGCTGTATATTTGGAGTTTGCGTGTCTCTCATCATCATCACGGTGGTTAGGAGATGTTAACGACCTCGCCTGGTATGCAGGTCGTGGGTTCGATCCCGAACCCTGAAACCTGTTGTATATTTGGAGTTTGCGTGTCTCTCTCTCATCATCATCACGGTGGTTAGGAGATGTTAACTACCTCGCCTGGAAAGCAGGAGGTCGTGGGTTCGATCCCGAACCCTGACGCCTGCTGTATATTTGGAGTTTGCGTGTGTCTCTCATCATCATCACGGTGGCTAGGAGATGTTAACAACCTCGCCTGGTATACAGGAGGTCGTAGGTTCGATCCCGAACTCTGACACCTGCTGCTGCTGTATATTTGGAGTCTGCGGTGTCTCTCTCCCCGTGGCCCCGCTGATTTTTCTCCGGATCCTCCGGTTTTTCCTTCCATGCTGTAAATTTCCACGTGACGATAAGCCACTTCGTTGAGCTATCATTTCTTATGGCCAGGTTCGCTTCTGAAAAAAATAGCTTTGTAGCAACTCAGTCAGGCCCTTACCTGGTAAAATATATTTTTTAAAAATTGGTTTGTTTGAATTACCCACAATCGTTGTGGGGAGCACAATGTGATGCCTGATGGGCCCCTCACCTTTTCCGGCCGTTTTTTCGAAGCCTTTTGTTACACGCTTTTATTGAACTCGCTCCGTCTGTTGTTGTCGTATCAAATATTGTAACTCAATTTTAACCCACTTCCCAATGTGGTATCGACTGCAAACTTGGTATACTTATGTCTTACTGGTGACAATGCCACATTCTATCATTAAAAATAAAAATTATATTGTTAAACAATCTTTGTACACACTTTCTATTAACTCACTCTGTTGTTGTAGCCTCAAATCTTGTAACTCAATTTTAACCCACTTCCCAATGTGGTATCGACTGCAAACTTGGTATACTTATGCCTTACTGATGACAATACTATATTCTATCATTAAAAATAAATTAAACCATCTTTTTTAAATGTTATGTTTCGGCTTGGGTCTAATTGTCCACGCTCAACTGACGTTGGCTGTAAATCACCACGGCCCCTCACGTTGTGCCAAGCTTTGCGGCCACTTCCTGGAGTCGTGGAGTTCTGCCATTACTTGTACGGTACATTTCATTAAAGCGTGTTTTTATAAAAGTATTTTAAAATATTACTTATCTTCTCCACTCGGTCACCCACCCACCCACGGGGGGTCCACGTTGTCAAGATTTTTGCTGTCCAGTCCACCTTCTGGGCTGCTTCTGCCATGCCCTCTTGAGATAATGCCGGATGGTGTACTGTTTTGTCGATACCCCGTTTTTGTTTTGGCGTTTCCTTAGCCAGTGCATTTAGTTATTTTCCACGCTGGGCTTGAAGTCCTGGAGCAGGCCGGGCACGCGCTTAGCACCAGAAGAAATGTCAAAACCATCACCTGGACTTTGAGACAACCAAAACGTTATTGCGCGCGCAACGAGTTCATTGGTTTTTGCTCAATGTTAACGCCGGCCTCAATACTTACATTGCTATGTTTTGTTTTCCCCATGCCCCCCCCCTCTCCCAACATCCCCCCCCCCATCACACCCCCCCCTCACCCAGGCCCAGATGTACCTGGGGCTGCTGGTCATGTGCGGCTTCGTGCTCTTCGACACGCAGCTCATCGTGGAGAAGTGCCGCGCCGGCGACAAGGACTTCATCTGGTGAGCGCCAACAGAGACAAAGATCCCCCGTGTAGCCTTAACAGACTGTTGGGGCAAGTGCTGTTAGCGAGCACCTATGAAGGCCGGAACGGTACACGAGGGGGTGGGTGGCCAGCACCACGCCCGACCGCACACACCCTCTTTCACCAGTTGTGTGTTGGAGAGTAAACCCACTACGACATTTACAATTCCAGTAGTGGGTTTACTCCCCAACACACCAGTTGTGTGTTGGGGAGTAAACCCACTACAACATTTACAATTCCAGTAGTGGGTCTACTCCCCAACACACACCAGTTGTGTGTTGGAGAGTAAAACCACTACAGCATTTACAATTCCAGTAGTGGGTTGACTCCCCAACACACACCAGTTGTGTGTTGGGGAGTAAACCCACTACAACATTTACATTTCGAGTACCGTGACGGTTCGCCAGTAATTACAACCAGCATCATCATGTGGCAAGACATCGTCGTTTAACGACACATATTTTTACGCGATCTGAAAAAACCCTCAATTGTGGAGAATATTGGTTGCGAAAGCCCTACTGCTACCTGTAAAATTCATGAAATTTTCCAAAATTTAACCACGAACGCCCCACAAACCGTTCCATCGTCACGTGTGACCGCGACTGCAGGCACAGCGTGGACCTCTTCCTGGACTTCATCCACATCTTCCGCAAGCTCATGATCATCCTCACCATGAACGAGAAGGTGAGGAGGGCAGACTGCGGCCTGCACGCCCCTCGTAGGCACGATGGACGCGAGATTTCAAACGTTAATTCTCGTCGTCGTCGCCCCAACGGTCCACGGTGAAGCGGGCACGGCAGGTGCTCTCAACGTCTCTGGGTTCATGTCGCGATCCACGATGGGCAGACGTCACGTAGTCTGCATCCGCGTCACATCTCGTCATTTGTTTCCACTTGTCCCTCTCTTGTCTTGCGGTGCCGTGGCCACATCTTTCCGGCACCGATCTCTTTAATGTCGTCGTCGAGGAATTCCTTTTTGCTGAACAGCAACACTTTAAATTTTTCCGTTGTCCAGCCACAACGTATGTGTTGGGGGGGGGGGTCGGTGAAGGAAGACTACAATGGATTGTCACGTTAATGACAAAAGAGTTTTCAATGCAATCGGTGCGTGTGGAGCCCCCGTAGGCATTGTTCGTGTACGTTGAATTTCTTTAGCGCCGTACGTAGCCAACGGCGCTGGGCAGAGGTGCGGGGGGGGGGGGTGGGGGAGGACGACGAACTGAAACGCGCACAAAAGCAGTTGTGAAGAAATGATTTTTTCTAAAAAGAAACGAGTTTTCAAAGCAGCTCACGCGCGAGTCTCTTGCGCTCGTTTGTTTGTTGTGTGTGTCTAGGACAAGAGAAAAGAGAAGAAGTGAAGAGAGGGACGCAGGCGAAGTAACAACGGAACTTCACACAGAATCTTATTTTTGTGTATTAATCATCAACTTCGTTGTGTGTGCGTGTGCGTGTACCTTTCTGTGTATTTTTGGTAATTATTTCCGACTTAAAAGTTGACCTGTGAAAAATGCATCTTTACCCCCATCCCCCCCCCATCTAAACAAATTGACTCACCGAGTTGAAGACGGGAGAAAAACGTGGTTTGCGTATTCGATTCGACGATTGGATAGGAAGTGTCACACGCAGAGCTGGAGACGCTTTTAAACCGGACGTCGAACGCGCCGTTAACGTCACCGCCTCAAGCGGGTGGGGGGTAACTCGACGCATCGTCAAAGATGCACAGGTAATCGATACGTCTTAAACGGTGTACGGGATGACAATTTTCTCTTTAATATTTATGCATGGTGCACTTGTGTTAACACTTAGGCCAATGCATACGATGTCGTTAAGGGTTAGGTCGAGGGGGGGGGGGGCGGCCGGGGGGGGTGGGGTGACTTTGTTCGCTTAGGCACTCACTGCTACACACACGCGCGGCGGCTTGCTTTGCATAGACAGGGTTTGACGAGACATTTCCTAACCGGCAGCGGGCAAACAAAATAATCATAATTGGCGCAGCGTTCGTGACTGCAGGGATTCATCCTGTTGGTTCTTTAGGTAAAGTCACGTAGAAGGGAAATAATAAAATAATAGAAATAAGGCATAATAAAATAATTCTCACGACGTTTCGGCCACAACGCAAGCAGCCGTCCTCAGGTGAAGAACAGGTCTGTCGAGCAAACATTCAGACTGTCTTCTCGACAGACCTGTTCTCCACCTGTGGACGGCTGCTTGCGTTGTGGCCGAAACGTCGTGAGAATTATTTTATTGTTTTATTTTTATTATTTCCCTTCTACGTTACTTTACCGAAAGAACCAAGGAGAAGATGGTGCAGCGTTGTTGACGATACAATTTCGTGAGGTCCTCGGGTTTGGAAAATCCACTTAAGAGGCACGCCTTTGCTATCGCTGTTGACGAGAGGGCGCCGAACGCGTTGTTGGGAGTTGCAGGAAGAACACACGCTCTGGGGATCGAGTGGTAAATGCACACCTGGCCACTTTATTTTATTAACGATAATTTGCTATGAAGGGGTTTCTTAATAACAACTCGCATATCGAGCACTGAGGAGTACACCGGGAAAAAAAAACTTAGCATCCAATTAACCACTTAACCAGGTTAGAAGGTTTAATAATTAACGTTTGAACTAAATGACTTTGAACTGTTAATAAACCATTTAGATGTGCCAAAATTAAACAATGTGATGTCTATTATTGTCAGCGTTTCATTTGTGCGACGATCGTGATTGCGGCTTAAACCCCCCCTCCCGCCGCCTCGTGTTAAGAGGACAGCCCTCGTAAGTGGATCTAGCGGAGCTACTTCCGAGTGACCTTGGGTCTGCACAATAGACGGCACCACTTTCTCCCGCTCCGCTGCGTACGAGCGTGACGTCGTGTCACGCGAAGGCCAGACACCGACGTTGAAATCTCCAAAGAGCTGCGATTGAGGCAAACGAAGCTCCGAGGCAAAGTGTAAGGTCCACGTGGGTTTTTTGTTTTTGGTGTGTTCTTGATCGCCGGGGGGGTTGAGACCCCATCGGCTCCACTGCACCGAAGAATCCGCTTGTACCACTACAGGAGGCTGTCCCGAATTCAAAGCCAGGATGTCCATAGCGCCAGCTCTGTTCTCTGAACTTTAAAAAAAAAAAACTACAAACGAAACAATCTTCTTGGTTCTTTCGGTAAAGTCACGTAGAAGGGAAATAATGAAATAATAAAAATAAAACAATAAAATAATTCTCACGACGTTTCGGCCACAACGCAAGCAGCCGTCCTCAGGTGAAGAACAGAGTTGTCGGGAAGACGGCGTCCGTTTTCCTTCTACGTGACTTTACCGAAAGAACCAAGAAGATGAATCCCTGCAGTCACGAAAGCTTTAAATCGAAAACTAAACAATGTTTTTATTTTACCAGGTAAGGCCCCCAACTGAGGTATGATGTGTGGCTCTTTTTCAGAAGCGACCTGGCTACCAACAAATGATAGCTCAACAAAGTCGCGTGGAAATTAATAGCTGCCAAATGCTCTAAATGCACATTCTAAATGTGGAGGGAAAAACCGGAGAAAAATCCACACGACGACGGGGAGAGAGACACGCAAACTCCAAATGTACAACACGTCGAGATCGAATCCACAACCTGTATACCAGGCGAGGTAGTTAACATCTTGCCACTGAGGTGCCCCTTTCTCTACATGTGCGTATGTTGAACTCTCTGGGTCTCTGTGTGAGTCTGGGTCTCTGTGTGAGTCTATGGGTCTCTGTGTAAATCTATGGGTTTCTGTGTGAGTCTATGGGTCTCTGTGTGAGTCTATGGGTTTCTGTGTGAGTATATGGGTCTCTGTGTGAGTCTATGGGTCTCTGTTAGTCTGTACGTCTCTGTGTGAGTGTCTGGGTCTCTGCGAGTCTGAGTCTCTGTGGAAGTGTATGGGTCTCTGCGAGTCTATGGGTCTCTGTGTGAGTGTATGGGTATCTGTGCGAGTCTATGGGTCTCTGTGCGAGTCTATGGGTCTCTGTGCGAGTCTATGGGTCTCTGTGCGAGTCTGTGGGTCTCTGTGTGAGTCCATGGGTCTCTGTGTGAGTCTATGGGTCTCTGTGCGAGTCTATGGGTCTCTGTGCGAGTCTGGGTCTCTGTGTGAGTCTATGGGTCTCTGTGTCTCTGCGAGTCTATGGGTCTCTGTGTGAGTCTATGGGTCTCTGTGTAAGTGTATGTGTCTCTGTGTGAGTCTGTCTCTGTGAGTCTATGGGTCTCTGTGTGAGTCTGTGGGTATCTGTGCGAGTCTATGGGTCTCTGTGTAAGTGTATGTGTCTCTGAGTCTATGGGTCTCTGTGAGTGTATGGGTCTGTGTGAGTATGGGTCTCTGTGTGAGTCTGTGTCTCTGTGAGTCTATGGGTCTCTGTGTGAGTCTATGGGTCTCTGTGTGAGTCTATGGGTCTCTGTGTAAGTCTATGGGTCTCTGTGTGAGTCTATGGGTCTCTGTGTGAGTCTATGGGTCTCTGTGTGAGTCTATGGGTCTCTGTGTGAGTCTATGGGCCTGTGAGTCTGGGGCTCTGTGTAAGTATATGGGTCTCTGTGTGAGTGTATGGGTGTGTGAGTCTATGGGTCTCTGTGTGAGTCTGTGGGTCTCTGACTGTATGGGTCTCTGTGTGAGTATGGGGCTCTGTGTGAGTGTATGGGTCCCTGTGTGAGTCTATGGGTCTCTGTGTGAGTCTGTGGGTCTCTGTGTGAGTCTGTGGGTCTCTGTGTGAGTCTGTGGGTCTCTGTGTGAGTCTGTGGGTCTCTGTGCGAGTCTATGGGTCTCTGTGTGAGTCTGTGGGTCTCTGTGTGAGTGTATTGGTCTGAGTTTGTGTGTTGAACTTTCACACCGTACGTAGCCAACCGCGCTCATCAGGTGTGTGGCCTTCATAGGGTGCTACTCCCATGTTGATTCTAAATGTGGAGGGAAACCGCTGGGGGGGGAAAATCCTCACGACCACAGGGAGAGACGCAAACTCCAAATATACAACAGGCGTCGGGATCGAACCCACAACCTCCTGTACACCAGGCGATGCAGTTAACATCTCCGCACCCTCTGTAGGTGCACCAGGGGCTATGATGAATTGATTTTCGCTCGCACCAGACATGTTGAACACGTGGGTTTGATAACAAAATGAATTGTCTTATTTGATGACATTGTAAAGACCTGCTGGACACTTGCGATATGGAATTGCCATTGGCACAGCAGCATTGCATTTTATTCGCATTCGTGTAAGTTGGCGAATTTATAAACACAGCAAATATTTGAAAAGTAAAAGATACAAAACGAAGATTGCACTTGAAACCATTGAGACCACTAGCAAAAAATGCCTTTTTTGATATGTAACAAGTTAAGTGGAGTTTTGTATCTTTGTAGTTGTATACTCTTTACGATTTATCAAGGGCATGATAAACACAACCCATTTCGATTTAAAGCTTTCGTGACTGCATGGATTCATCTTCTTGGTTCTTTCGGTAAAGTCACGTAGAAGGGAAATAATAAAATAATAAAAATAAAACATAATAAAATACAATTCTCACGACGTTTCGGCTGTCGGAAAGACAGCGTCTCATTCAGACGCTGTCTTTCCGACAGACCTGTTCTTCACCTGAGGACGGCTGCTTGCGTTGTGGCCGAAACGTGCGAATTATTTTATTATGTTTTATTTTTATTATTTTATTATTTCCCTTCTACGTGACTTTACCGAAAGAACCAAGAAGACGAAACACAACCCAGTCCGTTCTTTATTCCTTAAGTGAGCGTAGAGGCGCTGCTCCATCTGTTCAGCCCTGCCAGTGGTGGAAATTCCACATTCCCTATGGCAGGGGCAAGTCCAATATCCACAGGAAAAGCACTCGACTTCCCCCCCCACATGTTAAATGAACAGTGCAGAGTAAGCAACAGAGGGGTGCTGCTTTTAAGTTGCTACGTTCAACTTTCACTTCGTGTCCCCAATTGTTTTCATAAAAGCAATACTCTGGACTACGTTAACAATGTGTTCACGATTTTCAGATTAATACCAACATTTTCATAATCTGGAAATCCCCCAAAAAATTAGGTTTGCATTTGTTTTGTATAACAGAACATCATCACAGAAGTATGACATCACGTATGGCATCACAAGTAGGACATCATAGACTTATGACATCGCAGCCGAACATCACAAGTATGACATCACAGGTATGGCATCACAAGTAGGACATCATCATAGACCTATGACATCACAAGTATGGCATCACAAGTAGGACATCATCATAGACGTATGACATCACAGCAGGACATCACAAGTATGACATCACAGAAGTATGACATCACAAGTAGGACATCATAGACTTATGACATCACAGCAGGACATCAGAAGTATGACATCACAGTAGGGCATCACACAAGTATGACATCCCAAATATGGCATCACAGAAATATGACATCATCATAGACTTATGACATCACAGAAGTAGGACATCCCACGTGTGATTTTCCCACCAAAGTGGTGTGACGTCACATCTTCGCACAACGAGATAAATTTACTGCGCAAAGTAAACGCATCTGAGAATCTTTATAGGTCCGAACATGTCTGGACAATGCAGACATTGATAAAACACCACGATTCGAAACTATTCCTTTCTGTATATCTCATAATCCTTAAAATTATGGATGTGAAAATCTTTATAGGTCGGAATATGCTTGACAATCCCATAGATGTCAACCCATCACGGTTTACCCCGTATTCTTGTACAGGGCAAATTGAGTTTTCAGGTCCATACGGCCTGTACAGCCGTTTCAATACGGGCAAACACATTTTTTCTTGTTCATTTGCGTTTCTCCCTTGTGATGGAACGTTGTAGGATGAACGTTGAGATTTATAAGGGCACGGGGTGACCAATAAGATCTGAATTGGTCTGTGATAAGGGGTTGACAGGTATGCGATCCAGACATTGTAAAAAACACCATCATCTGAAACTCTTCCCTTTTGTACGTCTGATAATCCTTAACATTATGGAAATGGTGCACCACGCAGCACTGCGGTTATAAGTGTGGCTACGCATACAGATTATATATATTCATATCCGCATCTTGCATCCATTGATCTACGTTGGTTGCTTGCGATTTCAATAAGCGCATGCTATACGTTAGACACTTGGCAAGATGTTGATTCAGGCCCACCGAGCGATGGAGCTTTTTTTCAGAAACAACCTGTCTATCGAAAATGATTGCTCAACGCAAGTGGGCTCTCATCACGTGGACATTTCGATTTAAAGCTTTCGTGACTGCAGGGATTCATCTTCTTGGTTCTTTCGGTAAAGTCACGTAGAAGGGAAGTAATAAAATAATACATTATATATATTATTTTATTATGTTTTATTTTTATTATTTTATTACTTCCCTTCTACATGACTTTACCGAAAAAACCAAGAAAACACGGGGACATTATATCATCGCAGCCAAATACTCTGAAGCGCACGACGTTGATGCTAAATGTGGAGGAGGAGGAGGGGGGGAGGAAAGACCGGAGGACCTGGAAAAAAATCCACGCGACCACGGGGAGAGAGACGCTCAAAATCCAAACTTACAATCGAGGTCGGGTTCAAACCCACGACCTCCCGCATACCCCAGACATTGGGGCCCACGAGAATGCCAAAATATGCTGCGCCACCGATACCACAGTGGCCACCGCAGGAGATCAGATTTTTATTCCTA